AGAGTTCAGAGTTAAATTTTGGCTAAATAAGGAGAGGAAGGAGAAAAGGGGGGGATGCTGGAAAGAGTCTAGAGTGCTCCCCCAAATGCTGCTGCTTTCCTGGCCGTCACAGAGCAGATGGGAGTCGAACATGCTCTTCTTTGAAAAAGATTAGAGTAAAATGGACACTTCTGTCACTTTCAGGAGGCGGGACACAGAGAGGTGAAAATATACAAGACAATGGCCTCTGGCGCTGGAGGGCTCCCCTGGAGGGCTCCCCACCCTGTGCCCCGTCCCTCTCGGAACACTCCTTACCTTTGTTGCTGGGATTTGATCTGACACACTGGATATTCCTGGACTAGGTTCTCTGGGAGGAAAAAGACCATGAGAATCAACCGGTCTCTTGCATCTACTCCGAAGTCAAGAAGCATTACAATAAAATTTACAGCGCCTTTAACAACTCGCAAGTAAAGCATTAAAATTCTCTTTAATTGAGAAAATATTGATTTTTAAGTGTAGAAAAGGCAAAATTGTAATTTAGCAGCAAACTTTCAGGCGAGAATATAGCGTATTATGTCCCCGTATTATGGATCCACCCTTTATACCCACGCAATATCACATCTTTAATTGCGCTACTTTATGAAGTGATAAAGACAAAAGATAACCCGACTTTAGCAAAGACTAAACAAAAAAGAGAGAGAGGACCTAGAGTAATTTCCTTTTCCAGTTATTTACAAAAGAATTCTCTCTCTCTTTTTTTTTTTTTTTGAAGCAGAAAAAAAAAAATGCCCAAAGGGGAGGAAAGAAATAAAAAGAACGGAAAACCACAGACCAGTTTAAAAGCAACTCACATTAGTAAATCCGTTGATATTCTTTAGCAAAGGAGGAATGAAGCCAACGCATTTTGAGAAAATGCATTCACGGCAAAATTGCATCCTCCTTTAAACGAAACAAACCTGGGTCTATTTTCTTACTTTACTCCCAGTCCTTTTTGGGGGAGGGGGGGCAGAATCTATTGGTGGATAGGAAAGGGAAAGAAAAATCAGGCTTTCTATGTTATTTCTGTATCGGTTTTTGGTATTATAGAGGAGTAAAGAAGTTTTTGTGTGGTGGTTTTTCATTGATCAGTCACTCTGAGCTAATGTAATTATCCTCATCAATAGGAGGCTGCAGAGAGAATCATTATGTGGGTGACATTGATAAATGATCGCCCAGGAACGGCCCTCTCGCGGGCAGCCCCCCACATCTGACCCTCCCACACACACAATGTAGTCATAGAAACACCTAGAGAACCTCGAGCACCGCCGCGAAGGGGCAAGAGAGGGAAGAAAAGCCTCGGGCGGCCGAGGTGGGGGCGGGGGCGACCGGGGGCGGCCAGTCCCAGATCCAAACCAGTCCCAACGACAAAAACAGCCAACCGCGGGGAGCTAGGAGGGCGTTGCGGCTGGGAGAATCCCCCTTCCCAGCAGCGAACCCTCCCACAGTTGCTCACAACAAAGTGAAAATCCGCCCTCCAGACGGACCCATTCCTCCACACCTTTTCCCATGTGCGACCTCACCACCAACAACATCTGATGTTTGCCGAGACACACATTCAAATAGGTTTCTCCAAAGGAGTTAAATAATTAGGTTACGAAACCTGTAGGCATCTCATTCTCACGCGGGTTCCCCCGTTCAAAAAACCCCAAACCAACCAACCAAACCCATCTGAACAAAGGCAGCAGCTGGGTGCCCCCCCTTAGGTGCCCACCCCCCAGTTATTCACTGGGTGACCCCTTCCTTCCTTTCTCTACATCTCCTAACTCGGAGCCTCTGATGATGAGATAATGGATTTTGCAATTGTTCCTGTCGGGGGGGGGGGGAACCCCTACCGAACCCCATGTTTTCATCTTTTGACTGTTTTATTTAAGCCAATGGAAAAGTATTGAGAGCAGTAACTGATTCATAATGATCTATAAATCGATGTGGGAAAGCGGGGGTGGGGGTGGGAGTGGAGGTGTACGAAGAGTAAGGGGGGGGAGCGATGCTGTTTATTTATTTTATTTCCAAAGCTTCAACTAAAGTAGCTTTGACACTGTTGGGGCTGGAGGGGAGGAGCTGTTGGGCTCTGCTAGATCATCCATCATCGCTGTCACCCAGAGTCTGCCCCGAGGAGCCGTAGACGCAATCTCCCTTCTGTCTCTACACCGAAACTATTAATATTAAAACCTCCCTTCAAACACTGCCCCGACGGTCTCCATTCTCATCACAGTCTGACCGGCCTCCCCCATCAGACCTGGTTTCCCTCTCCCCGCGCCCCGCAGCTCCGTCCCAGCCCCGGCCCCGCGGAGGGAGCTCGACGACGCGTGCGACACCCCGAGTTGATTACTGCCACCGTTAGGAGCCCCCTCCCGCCGCCCCCCATCAATTTGAAGCACGTTGGTCTACCTCTAACACCGCGCAAAGGGAAGGCCGGGGGAGGGCAGGGGCAGCGGAGGAGGACTGGGAGAGCCTGCCCACGCCCGCCGCCCCGGCCCCCGGCGCAGCCTCCTCCCCGCCTCGGGGCGCGCGCACGTCCGCACCGAGCCTGCTCCTGGGGCGGCGGCGGCCGGCAGAGCTGCGGAGCGAGGGCCCCTCGGCCGCGTCCAGACACCAGCCCTTCCAACACGGTGGCTAGTTGAGGCAGAGCAGCCTCCTTACCAAACTGCTGGCCTGCAAGACTAATGGGGAACTTGCGGGGATCCCGGTCTAGTCCCTTTGAAGGAAGGTCCCTCCTCTGACAGCTGTTAGAGATATTAGCCACATTTCCCTTCCCAAACCTGCTCCGGGTTAACAGGCCCACGGGGGGCGGGAGGGGCAAGGAGGCCAGGAGGGTCCTGAGGTCCCTTCCCCACCAATCTAACTAGGGTGAGCTGCAGAGAGTTGGGGGGTGGAGGGCACGCGGACCTGGAAGTGCTGACCTGGGTGGTGGGAGGGAGATGGGGTGGATGGAAGACACAGACTTTCCTGGTCTTTTCTTTTTCCGTTTAAATGTGGCTTCTTGCTCAATTCCCAACCCTTAACAGATGGCGACTGCAGTTCTCTCAGAATTTCTTAAAGAAAGGGAAACCTTTGGAATTTATTTCTGCTTTTGCTTTTCCATATAAATAAAAAGTGTTTTTATGTTACTCTTGTTTTGGAGAACATAAGCAATTTTATTCAGACTACAGTATTTCCTTTAACACTATATGGTTGTCAAAACACCATTCCCAGTTTCTTTGCTTTTGACAGCTGAGTCTTTCTTAAATATACCCAAATCGGAACTCTTTATACTAAATAGTAAACCCGAGATAGGAGCAAATGCCTTCTGAGGTGGTATAAAAAAAAAAAGCATTATAAAAATTGGACAACTCTACTACCTCTTGGTCTTAGCATATGGGGGTGGGGGGAGAAAATGCAAACAAGTATTATTACAATTATCTCCAAATATTGAAGAAGGTTAACATGATTTATATAAGTATCTAAGCCTGACATGATTTTATTCATTAAAACCAAGGGTAGAGAGCTTTGGGATCTCAACTTTGACGAAATAGCTTAATAATAATTTAATTAAATACTTCCTAAACATGAACCATTACCAAGTAAACTCTGCAGCATATACTGTACTGAGAGGAAAGGAAGAAAAACTTATCCAAACATTTTTTTTTTTCTCCAGCGGATGTGAGTTAATTTGTAAATACAGACTTTTACCTAAAAGCATTTAAAGTAAAAATATACAAATATTTAAATTTAAATTTTGCAAAAAGACTCCTTGTATGCTGGGATAACAAAAGTGAGAGGGAAGCTCTTTTCCAAGTGGTATAGAATTATTCCGTTAACGACCAACAATCAGCTTGTGTCAGAAGTGTTATTTTTACATTGAAAAAGCAGCCTATCAAGCTGATAGATGTTCATTAAAAAAAAAATCTACCTAACTAAAAAAAAAAAAAAACCAAAACAATAGAAATTTATTTCCTTGTTTCTTTATATACAACTTCCATTGATGTTTTCTGCAATGGGAAGATGGCAGAAGTCCAAGTGAGACACAAACTTGGATTTCAGAGCTGGTGAACTATTTCCCCATCAAGCTGACATCACAGAACTAGTTTTATGATATTATCTCTTCTACACATAGGGTTAAAAATGTAGGTGTTTCAAAATTCCAGGAATAGTGTATTTATTTTAAAAATCGAGGGGGCATGCAAATACCTCACACTTTTTTTTCACTTTGCACACTTTATCAGGCATTGTTTGCACAGTACCAGCAAGCCAATAACAGATTTCTAGGAATGTTCTGTGATACTCTGAAAATGGCATTATATTGCCTGTTTTGCTGTTTAGAAAAAAATTTATGTTTAGTCATCCAATTCATCACACTAGCGTGTCTGCACATGGAGGTGTCTGAAATAAAAAGACATCATAACAAAATTTATATTAAATATTAATGATTAAGTAATCTTTTCAACTCAGGATTTCAAACTCCATAGAAGTTGTTTACTCATCTATGAACATCTATATATAAATTTTAATTTACATATTCAACAGTATTTTAGTAAGTAAGACAGAGAAAAACACAGGCAGATGAATTATCTTTGAGCACAGACGTTAGTTATTTCTTATGATGTAAAATTAACCCTGAAAAAGCCCTTTATTCCGGCAGAGGATGAACATGGAAAGCTTTATCGTAAAGTACTTTTTTCAACATCATGCATCTAAAAAGGAGGTTAGACATATTGAATGAAGGTAATCTTTCAACCCAGCTCATCACACAACACACACACACACACACACACATGCACACGCAAATTCATACCTTTAGAAGTTCTCTGCTGGTGGAATTTCTAAGCTAAATATATACTAACCACTACAGAAGGTTCCCTTAAAAATTATTGGTGAGTTTCGAATATGGCCAACTTCTGGGGAACGAAACCACTACCTACTTGTAATACGGTAGAAAGAGTAGGCACTGTGCAACCTTGCCTTAAAACTATGAAAAACACGAAAGCCTAACAAAAAATCAAAAATGAAATATTTATTACCGCATTTTGTGACTTAACACCTTTTTTTTTTTAACATAACGTCACAGTCCTCATACAAGTATTTTAATGTAAATTTGACAAAGCTTAAAGGTAACAGCATTTTCTTCTAGTGAGGAACACGTGCTGAGAAAAGAATTCATGGACATACAATACCAATTCCACAGCAGATCTGATACTAGCAAAAACATTCTTTTTTTTTTTTCAATTGAGGTAAACACATAGAATATCTAACATGAAACAATTAATAGACCGAACTCTGTACGAAGTTTGTTACAGTATTCTCTTGCTCCTTTTTATCCCCCAAGCTTTGAGTTTCTGATAAAGTCCTAGTTGTGGTGCTAGGACCATTAATAACTTTCTTGTGTTGAAGAAAGCTGCCCAACTTGAGATTGTTTTGTCCACAGCCAAGGCTTAGAACTCCTGGAAGAAGCTCCTGCTCGGTCTTTAAATCTTCACTGGCAAGCTCTTTGAAGAAGAGTCCCCCAAAATAAGAAGAAGAATTGGCTTATGAAGCACAAACTATAAAGATCTGTTTGAAACTAAAGGACACATTTATGGAGGAACAAAGGCCGGGCATGAAAACACATTCTTGAAGCTGGAGTTCCCGGGGGTTGAGGTTCAGCCAAACGCTCACCATGGTCTCCAGCGCGGTTCTTTTCTCCTTGGCCCAACAGGTTTAAAATATACCACAGTCTCTCCTGGATAGTGAATTCACTGATGAACCAAAACAGTCATTCTTTTGGGAACAACACACATAGTGTGGAAAACAAGGATATATTTTTTTTCTCTTCTAAAACTATTTGAGGCAACATAACGGAGTGATCAACAGAAATGTACAAGTTTAACTTAGTTCCTATGTTTATACTACAGTAGTTATAACTCTCGGAGTCTTTTTCCAGAGGATCTTTACATGGACAGAATTGTCTCAGTGAGCCCATGATTTCACATTTGTGTTCTTGTCTCATTGGTCCTCTGTGGCTTGATGAAAAATGACAAAAGTAAAAAATAATCACAGCTGTCTGGAATTTCATATTAAGTGTCAACATCTGGTCAAAGTTCAGAAAGTCTTAAAATAGTTTTTGCGTGTGTTTCCTTTTCCCTTGAGTTCCCTTATACTATTGGGCATGAATGTCCATAACCTGTCCGCCAACATTGGGATCTACAGAATTTAACATTGTGGGACTCTGTGCTGACATAGTCATTCCAGGGTGGGTAGGGGGTCCTCCGTGCATCATCATGGCTGGGTGGTGGGGATGGCTTGGCAAATATGAATGCATTGGGGGTCCATGTCTTAATTGAGTAGGGTGTGGGGTCATCTGGGGAGGAGTGTAACTTGGCTGTGCCATACTCATTCCCATAGGACCACCCTGAGAAACGTAGTCCCCTGGCATGCTCTGCAAACCTGAAAAGAGAGAGGGAAAAAGAAAGCAGGTCAAATTCCTCAACATTTTTATACTTTACCCATCAAAGATGAAAAGAAAAAAAAAAACAGACACTGCAAATCTTATATCTAAATTTAGCTGCAGATTCTTGCCAATGTTTGCAGACATTCAAATTGTAGTTTGCATTTAATTTCATCGCACAGCAGTATAATGCAACACAACAGAACTAAATATTTAATGCAACTAAATGTCATAAAGTGGAACTGTTTTTCAAAATGGTATTCAGTACATTCCTTTGATAAATGCAATAAGAATATAAATTCTAAGTCAAGTTTTATCAGTTAACTGTTGCTCTGTCGTTTATTCTCCTTCATTGCATTTATACATATGGACAAAAACCGTAGGTATTAAAATAAAATTGACGTCTTATCATATCTATATTTCTTCATGAAAAATTTATTATACAAAACATTATGGCATATTCATTTTGAAGGGATGAGCTTTTATGTATATTTAAAATGAAGCCCCTTTTTTGAATTAGAGGCATTCTTGGCGCAGTACACCCAAGAGATTGTAAAGGTCAAAGGTAAGAAGTCAGGATAAGGTCATATGACATGCCCAGTAGTTTATGTCTGAAAATTCCAAAAGAGAATGGCTTCATATCAGGAATAAGATCTAACGCATCTAAAAATTCTTAATCTTGTAAATCAAGACGGGAAGTTGGGAGTTAAAATGTTGGGAAGTCGGCCGTTGAAGGATTCGGATTGCTCCTGCGAGTTACCTGTTCATCGAATTAAGGTTGTGTTATATTTATTGTTGCCCATCCCCAGAGCTAAAAGGACAGCTTTATTCACCTCTATTTAACCTCCAGTACATACAGTTGAAAAGCCGAACAGATGTTTTTGACACTGTAAGCTGGTAATCTAAAGGCTTAGACGCTGCAGTCATTTTGTTAAGTAGATCCGCGGTCCATTATTAACAGAAGTGGCAAAACCATCTAAAGACAATAACACAGCCTGCATAGTCCCAGCTCTCTGTTTATTCTACCACAGCAGCCTGCTCAATGGATGATGATAATTAAGTACCAAATATACCATATTGTGTGGCTGCATAATCAAATCAAGAGAGGATAATATTCTTCTGTATTAAGCTATTAATGTAATTGGTCATGAAGCATAAAATATGTTATGTAATTAAATAGGCTAGAAATTATATGGCCTATATTAAGAATTATCCAAGCTGAGCAAATGTTTTCTCTATAGCTGTTTTAGGGAACATTGCTTTCTACATTTTTTGACTGCATTAGGAAAGGATGAAAGGAAGGGAATTGGCTTCGTCAATGGGGTGCCATGGTGACCCCCTGAGATCTCATATAAAATGTTGGCCTCTATTTACATATAGAGAATGATTTAATCAAGGTACGTGTTGTTACATTCAGCCTCATTAAACAAGGAAGTTTCGATGTTCTATGAATTTCTTTATGCTCTGGTGTCCTCGGCAAAGGATATATCTTGTTGGCAGACTCAGAATTTTTTTCAGATGTCAAAAACACTTGAAGCTTTAAAGTCTAATGGGTTTCTTAATCCAACTGCAGCCATTCAGCCTCAGTGAAAAATCCATTCCTTCATATTCAGTTGCTCCTAAATGTCTTTCCCTTTAAATTTATTGACTGACTTTCCTGTCTTTCTGTCTCATGTCGAAAGTCAGTAGGCACATGTAAAAAATAATCAAAACACACCGACTCCCTAGTGAAGAATCAATGGTGTCACTGCTGTCATATATCCAGACTAGGCATAATGAACTGCAGCATTTCATCTTTGCATATAAGATAATTTGGGCATCAATCGTGTTCTGACAGATTTATGTCACTCAAAGGACAGTTCTACTTTTCCTTTTTTTTTTATCGCTTCATTGAAGCCTGCTTAATTTCTCTCAGTCAACTGGTGCCCCCAAGACGTTATTTTTATTCTTAAATGTCCAATATCTGCCTGATGTCTGTGTTTGTGCACATCGGGGCCTCGGTAAATAGGCTAAGAGGCGGTCTCCCCTGCTTGAAACACACACAGGCTTGTCAGTTGGCCTTTTCAAAAGTGTGTCTCGGTGTCATCTGTGCCTTTAGAGAGGGTGATAGGTGTTTAAAAACAGGTCCTTAGTTTGGAAAGGCATGCAGTTATGGGCAAGGAAAAATAAAATGGGGGGGCAAATTATAAAAAATAAAATAAAGTCTCTGCAGTGACAGTGAAGACAGATTGCACCCGACTGTACTTACTTCCCCCTTGCTTTGCGATTGCTTTACATGATGAAGGTTACATGTAGTGCCATTGCCCATCCATGCCCATATTCATGCCCATTCCACTCATAGGTCCTAGAAAGGAGATAAAATCCAAGAAGAGGCCGGAAAATCAGCAATAATTGATGGCGAAAAAATAGGAGGAAACTCAGATTCCTTTCTCACTGATCGCTTTGGTTTAAAAAGAAAAAAAAAAAAAAGAAAAAAGAAAAAGAATGTGTATGGGGCAGAGTAAAATGGTACTGCGGTAAACTCTTTACTCTTTCCAAGAGGATCTTCTCCCCCACCCCGGGTCAAAGAAAGCAGGCAGAGCAGGCAGCAGGCAAATGTTAAGCCCACCCCGAGTGGAGTGGATGAACGAGGCCGAGGCCGGTGGAGCAGGTGACACTTCCCGGGGAGGCCCAGAGGAGGAATGAGCGCACCTACCTGCAGGCCGGATTCCCATGTGTTGCTGACCATCCAACACAAAGCTCCCCATGGGCTGACCCTCTGGACTATATGCTGCTCCTTGGCTCACTGAAGGATCAAGAAGAAAACCTGATTGTAGTCATTCGAGGACACAGAGGAGAAAGAAGAAAAGATATACCAAACAATCAGCAATTGTTCCCGCTACAGCACTGAAACGTTACAGCAACAACGTGGTGACTGGCGCTTTCCGAATGGGGCTGGGGTCTGTCTGTGCGGCTCTAGGACCAGTGAAGGGGTGGGAGTAGCTTTAAACACGGTCTGGAGGAGAGGCTGCCCCAGCCCGTCTAACAGGTGGGTCATCGTCTGCAGCCTTTACGACTTCCCTGATGTCTCCATTACGGGGGTGGGGGGGGGGGGGGGGGGGAGGAGGCCAGGGAAATCGAGACCAGTCAATATAGAAACACCGCAGTGTGCACGCGATCCCACCCCCTTGGGTGGCTTACAGAAAGATTGTCACGTCAAACGCAAACCCTTGGGATTCGGGCACCGTTTTGCAAGGTTAAACAGACCCACTGGAACATTTGCCTTTTTGCTTGAACCAAGGAAAATGTAAACATGGTCAATGGAACATTTCAATTGCTTTATATTCTCCGACAGGCCCCCTGGCCTCCAGGAGTGGAACAGCATTTCAGTGTTACTGGGAAAACTTTGCCAAAGGAAACCGATTTTCTTACGTACTTCAAAACTGAGGCCACAGCTGAAATCTCCACGTTTGACACTCTCGTGAGTGACAACAGTCATCGCCCCATGGAAAATAGGGTTTTCCCATAGACCTTCTTGCGGGACAGCGAAATGCCTCCGTAAACTAAGGGTATCTCAAAGTGGGATGATTAGGAGAGTGCACGGGTATGGCTCAAAAGAGACACTGTGAGAAAACCCCACATGTATTCTAGTGGGATGGATGTGAAGCATTTCAAACAAAGGTAATAATCTTTTAATAAAAAATCATGCTGGCCATGCAGCACGTCAGGCCCTAATAGAATATTATGAATAGTCGGAGCCAATGAATGGATACAATGAGTTTAACAGGGGATCCTCTAGGAGTGAAAGCAACGCGAACACCAAGGAATTGTGGGTAACAAGAAAATGAGAGCGTGCTAATGATTGATGCAGACAAGCAATGAGTAATTCCAGAGCTCACAGTCAAACAAACTGCTTGTGGCACTAATACTCGTGCCCAATTACCAATTCAGAAGGAAAATAAAAAGCAGTTTCAGGAGAGTCAGGGTGGGAAATCTCCAATTAGCACCAATTAGTGAAGTTGCTTCCTAGAATGGAATTCTGGGGACATTAAAAAAAAAAAATTCTCCCAGGATGCCTGATGGAAGCATTTATTGAGCAGGTGATGAAACTCCTAGAGTCTAACTTGATGAGGATTTGTGCCTATGAGACATGAATGGAGATACTAGTTGGAACTTGCCTGCTCGATTTGACTGGTCAATCATGGGCTGTACTATTCTTCTTCTGGCATTAATAAACCTGAAACAGAACAGAGAAGCCCAGTCATCCAATGCGGTTTCGGTGCCCCGTGAGCACTTTCGCACAAACGCTGAGGAGAATACGACACAGTCAAACATCTCCTGAAATTTCTCTTTTCAAGCCCGAGGCAATTTTCCCTTTTCAGGGTTCAAAAAGAGTGGACTGGATCATCTCCATCCCCTCATAACCCACTGGAGGTTGACTTGGCGACCAAGGCTCAGGGAAGGGGTTGGGGTTGGGGGGGGGCGGGGCGGAGAAAAGTTTTCCCTGAGAAAACATCTATTAATTTGTTGTTGTGCTTGTGCTTCTTGAACAAGCTGGAATCTGGTTAAAGTTCACAGGCTGGAGGATTTGTTTCCCCCTTTCCCTCAACTCCCCATCATAGGGAGACCTAGCTTCCCCTTGCAGCTGGTCATAAATGGAGACCAGGCTCTGGCACTGTGCTTTCACAAGGTATTGTTAGGTCAGCAAAGCCATCAATTAGGCTGTCTGAAGTTTTATCACCAACACAGCAGTAATAAGTGCTGGCCAGAAAGACTTCTGCTCTTCGGCAACTCCCGCAGTTTAAGCCTGTAAAGTTAGGGGTCATTTAGAGGTCAGTGCCAGCTGGGGGCGGCCTCTCCAGTCTAAGCTGGGACACCCAGGGCAGGGATAAGGTAACTGCCAACCATAAACCCAGCCACCTTTCAACCCACTAGAAAGACAGAGCCTCAGGTACACATGGTTGATATTAGAGCCCAAGAAACGTTTTCAAATCAGGTGGCGGCTGAATCACAGGAATGTAAGGGAGCAGCAGTTATTTCGTCTAGAAGCCTGGATCTAATTTTGTGGGAAATCCAAAAATAAGTGCCTACTTCATGTTACTTTAATGTTTAATAATGCCCATCAAATATTCATGTACAAACAGAGTAAGATGATAAGAAATCTCCTTTATTTCTCCAAATTTAATAAAAACAAAACCATTTTCTACCATTGGCGAGTTACCCTTGTCCCCGTGCATTTAATGATGCCCAGTGCCTGCACCCTTGAGCTGATGAACACGATTCACTGGCTGTGCGTTTTGGGTGGGGGGGCGGCACAGAGGGAGGGCGGGACGCCTAGTAGATAGCTAGCAGTCCCTTAAAAATATACCCACTTACAACATCTCCCAGTATTTCCAGTTTCAAATCTTAAGTGCAGGGGAACTTAATGATTAATGAGCCCGCATGGGGCCACAGGCAGGAACTGAAAACCCATTCTTTGAAATTAGCCAGAAAAATTCTAGTGTGTGTTGGCAGCTCTGCGTTCTGAAGGAGTTGAAGCCCCTTCCTAGGAAGACAGCAGCCCACACTTGTTCAGGCCTCCTGTGAGCACTCTAGTGGGAATACAATTAAGCCCCAGACTAATAGCGGCAAGAGAAACCAAAGGAGTCTTTTGCATATGGTGTTTGTTTGCAAAACAATGACCTTCTTTATTACTTAAGCAAGTATAGCTCAGTTGTCAAAAATGCTACACCCCCTCAGGTCTGGTGGGGAGGGTGGGGAGGGGAGAGAAGTGACGGGCAGTGAGAGGTGAAATTGCACATTTATTCCCACCTGGCACTTAAGTGTTAGCAAGGAATATCTATCAGATCACAAAGGGTTCCAGAAGCATCTCTTAAATCAGAAAAGGAACTTAATTATCTCCTCTTTCTCCACTGTTTTCACTGGGACCAAGGAGGACTGACCCATGCTTTTCATTGCCCCCCCCCCCCCCCCCACCGCCAGGAACTCTCTTTATCAGCTCAGGTTAAGACCAACTGAGATGCTCAGGAGCACCGGGGAGAAACCTCCTCTCTCCTCCTTGAAGTTTCTAATGGAGGAGACACATGGCAGAGGCTTCACCTCTTTTTATGTGCTGCTAATCCTGGTTTTGTTTCTTCCTATGGGCCAACTCTTTAGGTAAAACGAATTGCTATTTTTTCCCTTTTTAATTTCACCCTTTTACTCTTTTATTATTTACATCTGGAGGTTGTTCCCTTATTTATGTCTTTCTCTCCAGTTCCCCCAAACACTCCCTTCCTCACAGAGCTGCAAGGCATCATGGTTCTTAGTTCTCAGCAGGAGAACTCCACACTGTCTTCAAACAAATAATTACGGGGAAGGTTAGAGGTTCACTCAAAGGTCATTTCTTTGGATACTCTTCAGAATGTTTATATTAGTAAAAACGGGGTCCGCTCAAAAGGTTGTTCAATGGGGGACACACAACAATACAGAACATTAAAAAAGCATTCTGTGTGCTCGCAGGTCTTTATAGAAGCGCTGAACTTGGAAATGCCACTCCAGTATTACATTTTCAACTAGTTACCATGGCATGGACGGGATGTTCACTAGCAGTTATGGCGACGGCCTTTCTGTGCCCAGTTCCACTAAACAAATATGCATAGATGCTTCTGAAGGTTTTCAACTAGATCCTTTTCAAAGGGTCCCAGAGATTCTGCTCTTTTCACTTGGGTTCCATTTAGCTTCTCTGAATTTTTGTTCTCAAACAATGTTTTTGATCCATAGTGCTATTATCTTGCCAGATTCATAATTCTACCACATTCTTTCAAATCACACAGAATTTTAAAAACATATGGGCCCCAATTTATCAGAAATCTCTTCACTTACAACTCCTGCCAATTGTCAACTCCCCTGATCTTGGGATATCTTTTATAAACACCACGGATGTTGTTATAAGAATGAACAATTAATGAGTTGACTGTAAGAACAATTTCACACCAAAAAAATGAGATTACCCGCACAGTACTGATGATCCACAGGCCTCTCTTGGAAAACCTATCAGTGTACATAAGATGAAGCCATTTAATTATAGATTTAAAAAAATCAAACTAGGAGTAACTTTTATTTCTTTAGTACTACTAAGATAAAATTTCCAAATGCAGTCTTTCCCCAAATTACATGACATGAAATTTTTTCCACTTCCTCTGATCTATATTTTAAAATGACCTTATTCAGTGCTCAAGCAGTAAACAGAATATCAAGTTTTGATCCTACTTAAAATTTGAAGACTCTAAGTTGAAAATCAACTGATCCTCTATCTTTCAAGGTCCAAGCTCCATTCATATGGAAAAATGCAACTCACTGGTTCAAAGACAAAAGACTTGTCTTAAAAAGACTCAAAAGGTTTTCTGGATATTAAATGGGTCTTACAAAATAACATTTTGATGAGTTAAGTGTAAATGAATCAGACACATATGGATTAAGTTATCCTTGAATTTCACACGGGTTTAAAAAATAAGGGGAAAAGAGGGTCTTGGCAAAAACATTTTGGACTTTGCCAAACCCAAAACATTTGAAAAATTGCTGAAGACATCCAACTAACCAAAATGTAGCAAGCTGCACCCAACTTTAATGAAAACCCCCACAAGTTATTTCCAATTCAAAGACTGTTAGGTTTTTCATCTGTATCTGATATTAAAAAATTTTCTAAGTTTTAATGTCATCCCAGAATGATTTTGAAGTTGAGGATATATAATATGCTTTTTTATTGGTATAAACAATTTAACCTGAAATTACAAAGTCTTTTAGAAAATTAAATAGCTTTTAAAAACATTCTGAGATTTGTAAAACTTGTGCGTAAAACGTGCCATATATGATAAATGCCATAAATAAAATGTGCTAGTAAGCCTAGTGCCTTATCCAGATTTCACTTAGCAAAAATTTTCATTAGCCTCATTGTGACTTTTTTTAAGGGCTACAGATAATTCCATTAGTGACTCCTTAGGGAATGAGTACCCTAAAGTGCTCTAGTTCCATTGATTTGTATTGAACACAAAGTTACTATCCAGGCTCACACAAAGACTCTGGAGAGTATCTACTGAGACTATCTACTTTCTCACTAAATTTTACGAAAATAGAAAATGCATTAGTATGTGTGATTCTTAAAAATTATATACTGACTGTTAGCTTAAAAAAACTCAATTATAGAAATGAATTCAATGACTTTCCAAGAATCATGAGGCCTTTCCGAGTCAACTTAGAGATGAAAAAAAAAAAAAAAAGAATATATTAAAAAGAATAACCCCAAGGGAATAAAACATCATGGAAATCTCATCCTGCTGTCTTGCTGGAGAGAGAGCTCCTAGAGACCGCCCCGGCCCCAACCCCACCTCGGCCCCCCAACAGAAGAGCCAAACTTTTCAGCTTTGCATATTTTTCTGCCACTGAAATTTGACCATCGCGGTTTTCCTCTGAAAGGTTTTTCACTCCAAAGCATATTTGAGATTGATAGAAGTAGGCTTAGGTGTCATTCCTGCTTGTTGGTCGATTTCTTCTCTTTTCTTTACGTCCCTCCCCCACATCTTTTTAAATGACTGATAAATCCCTTCTTTCTGGTTCACTAACTTCATGCCACACCTGGTAACCAACTACTTTAGGCAGCATTCCTTTTGTTAGAAAGTGCAGGCCTCTGTGGAGTCACCTGGAAGGCCGCCAGCCCTGAGGAGGAACCAGGAATCCCTGCATGGAAACTTTTCCGTGGATTGGTCTGGTCCAGGGAGGGGGCTGAGCTGTTGAAGAGGGATCGGGTTAACTTGGAAGAGGTGTTAGAGGCAGCTTGGTGACTGGGGACCTGTCGAAAAATGAACAAGTTCTGCTTCTCCGCTCTCCGCGGCCGTGGGACTCCTCAGTGAGGGTGCCTATTCACGAAGCTTGCTACCGGCTGGCCTTTGAAATAAGGAAGCCTCAATCCTGACAAATCAGTTAGCAACTGTTTTTCTTAGTTCACACACACAGAAAGCAAGTTTTTTTCCTATGTGCTGTGGTTATGGCTGAGTGGGGTTTTCTCGGTAAGATACATAAAAATGGTTCAATTGGTGAGCTAAGCAAGTTTAATGTCTTTGAACATGTACTCAGGCGCATGAATGACTGGGTCATGGTGCAAACCTGTTTTTTACTGATGGCCAGACAAGGGGTCTTTTCTCTCAGACAACTGTGAGCAAAGTAAGGTAAACGGATGAGATTCATGGGCTGCTCAGAAAC